TTTACTACAGCGCCCGGAGGAGAGTCGGACACACTGGCCATTCTTGACGAGGACGCTTGCGTTGAGTGTATAGAAGCCAATCGTGACGTCATCGTTGGTGTCAAAGTCAGATTACAGTCTTCGGTGTGTGATAAGGGACGATTAGAAGAAGAAGCATATAGGTACGCCGTCTGATATAGAAATTTCTTCTTTATAACTTGAAAATAAAAAAAGTCATATATTTAGTGAACAAAAAAAATAAACAAATAATAAAATAAATAAAACAAAACAACCAAAAAATTGAAAGGGTATGATTTGCAAAAAGTAAAATGGTTATTTTCTATAGGCAAATAAATTACAAAACATATTTGTTTGAAACGGAACACGCTTGCCTAAGAAAGCGAAAGGGAGACATACGCGGCTAAAATTAAATCAAAATTAATATAATATATTTACCTCCCTTTACTGACAATATGTCATTTTTATATTAGAAAGCAACATTGTTGTTTAATCTTTTACATGTACGAATACTTGCACAGTTCGAAATTTTCTTAAACTCACATTTTATGTTTCGAAAACAAACGAGCGCGAGCACGTTCAACATGCAAACGAAATTTTCGGCATTGGTACTAGCCGTTTCTCGTTCTATTTTTAGATAATTATTCAGAATATGACCAGTTAATAGACTTTTTTTAATGTTCTTTAACGGAACGTGGTTTTTACTCGGGCTCCCGCTTGTGCCTGAAATGATATACGGAGAGACACCTGAGGTATTCCTTAACCTGTAAAGCTGCAAAGTCGCCATGTGACCTGTGCTGTACTATGTTGGTGTAACGTTTAACCCAACAAACAAAAAATAAATAGGTAAATAATAATATTAATTTTTGTTTTATTTGTATGTACAGAAGGGCGTTATCGGCAGCCAAACGTTGCGGGCTACCATTGATGGTGCATCATTGTGACTCAACAGTACCCACACAAACAAGTAAACTACGTATTATTTCTCATGAATACTTATTATTTAGTTATAATTGTTCCGTAAAGCAGCACGCCACCATGTTCATGCTTATTATGAAGAGTCAAATTTTGTGAAGAAAAAGAAAGAAAGAAAGTTTTACACATTTTAAACAACACTTGCAAATAACGTACTTCGTTAGTATCACAGTAGAGATATGGTGATAAACATAAAAAAACAGTCCTTATTCGCACATAAAATGCACATTATTACTTGAATCTTTTCACTCTTCTTAAAATCTGAGTACATTTTCATAAAAACTCTTTCTTAAGTTTGATGCCTGTCTTAAATCTGATAAAAGTATAATTTGTCACATCGTCGGTTTTACCCACGGTAAATGTTCCGGACATACTTCAGCCACGGTATATATTCCGTACATACTACATGTACGGAATATATACTGTGGGTAACCGACGATGAATTTGTCATTAAAATTGTCATTGCGTATAGATCATAAATCTGTAATTTAAATTTGACAGCATCTCCCGGCAAACTAGGCTGTCCTAAGGACCTCCAGGCTGGCGACATTTACACACATACATACCACGGATATGAAAGCACCATCTTGGATTCTAAGACTAAAACAATTCATAGTGACGTCATAGATGCTAGGTCACGTGGTGTATTATTTGACTGCGGGCATGGTGCGGGTGCCTTCAACTGGACTGTGGCTGAAATGGCTACAAAACAGAATTTCTGGCCAGATCTTTTGGGTATAAGATTTTAGGACGTTTGTAACGTTTTAAGTATTTCAATACAGGTTTCATTACATTCAAACGTCTATTTTATTTCACTGTGAATTCTGTTTATAGCATGTGTAGCATGCACATATATGGCAGATAAAATCAGCTAGCATTGCTGGTCTGGTCAATCAAATAAGTTTAATTATTCGTTCATATTGTAGGGCCGTAAAATTTTAACAAAAGTGTTGGAATTCATTTTATGTATTTTTTTAAAAAAAAACACAATAAGGGTGTCGAAGTTAGGGTCACCATGTCGGAATAACGGATTCAGAAGGAATTAGATTTGTAATGTGTTACATGGCATACTTTGGGTGTTATTTAAGTAGTTCTATTCAAAAGCCCCCAAAATGTAGGACACTTTTCACTGCGTAGTCGAAATTAGGATATGTATAAAATTATACAATAAAAAACGAAAATTTATTTTAAGGTGTCGAAATATGGATACTTTACTCTAAACAAATTTTTGCCGATAGATTTTATTTAATCATTATTCTAATATTCACTTTTTCTTTATTTTCAGGCAGTGATCTTCACACTCAGAACCAAGAAGGACCTGCATACGACCTTCCCATGATAATGACAAAGTTTCTTTACCTTGGTATGCCACTGAACGAAATCATAAAAAGTGTGACGTCATCACCTGCGCGCGCATACAGGCTAAAATGCATTGGATCATTATCGAAAGGAAACGACGCAGACGTTTCTATTTTAAGAATTGATGACTGTGACGTCAGTATTGAAGATTGTATCGGACAAATGAGACACGTTAAGAAGCGAATAGTCCCTGTTGCCGTATGGCGTGGGGGTAAGGAACACCCTGTTGTCATAGCAGGATTTGGTTCGAAACCAGTTACTACACAAATCAGTCTAGGGAACTTAGAGAGGGCATTGATTAAAGATTAAGAAATACATGTAGCTCGTCGGACAACAGGAAATGTTATCAACCCAACTTGATTTTTTTTGTATTTACTCATGATTTTTTATGAAGTACTTATTTCATTCTCCGTATTTTCACTGTAAGCACTTTCTTCACTGCAGTAAAACATATCTTCCGCAGTAAGCCTGCAAAAAATAAATTAATAAACGAAAAATAAAAAGATAAGAAAAAAATAAAAAAAAGTAAATAAATTGAAATAAAGAAAAATACAATGAACAGAAATCCAAGGTTTCTATTCTATCAATACGGGATTTATTTTCAATATTTTCAAGTGGTATAAGATATGTTAATTTTCATATTAAAGAAAAACGAAAAAAAAAAAAAAACAATTTGGAATACCCTCTAAGTAGTAATGTCTTTTTCAATTTTTAATTTTATGATGTTAAAAGTTTTTATTCCATGAAATTGTTTAATTTTAAATCAATAAATATAAAGTAAAACAAATGTTTTTTTTTTCTTTTATCTACACTTAGCCATATATTTTCATCCCATACGAGTTATATGCAAAGAAAAACAGTTGTGATTAAAACGGCGGTTTTTAATCTCATATTAGTAATGTTTAAGAATATTGATATATCAATCTGTATTTTCAATAAAACATTTACAATAAGATCTATGAAATAACATTTATGTATATTTGGTTAAAAACATTTTTTTTCCAAAAGTGACCGACTAATAATACCTTGTGACAAGTGACCATTACACTCAAATGTCCGAGATCAATTATCACTGTGTAACCACGCCTCACCATGTATTTCTAATTCGAAGCATTACCTATTGAGTTATAATTAAACTAATAAAAAGTATAATTCTATTCGAAACAAAAAAATACGTTTCATATATGTCATGTATAAATAGTTATCTTTCGGGTGTTGTTTTCACTATTACTATCCAATTCACTTTATTATAATTGTAATTATTGTTGTTGTTGTTATAATTATCATTGTTATAACATCTCACGCGTTCACGGTGGTCAGAATTAATTAAAGAAACAGTTTTCAAAAATAATTATTTATAAAGGTAAGTCAGGGAAATAAACGAAGAGTCCTACACATACACATAAAAACTGCTATAAATATCAATTATTTTAAATAATCTTAATCATATTAAGCAATGATAATGTCTATTTTTACGCGATTTCTATCTGTCAAAATTTGTTTCATTTTAGCAATAAAAATCAGTCATAACGTACCAATACATCGCCGATTTAATGATGCTTTTGTAAAATTAATTTTCGTAATACAGCTCTGTACACCTGATTACTTTTGTTATATTAACTTGAACACATCTTTTATTGTTTATTTCACCATTTTCATTTTGATAGTATATGAAAATAATAACCTCTTTATCTGTTGTTTTTTTTTCTGAAAGTTGCAATTGACTGAAAATATACATTATATGAAAGAGGACATTATCGCGTCATCAAGGTAAATCGCTCAAGTTGCTACAAACTTTAATAAAAAAAAATCACAATTTGAACTTTGACCTCATTTACAATACAAATTATACAAAAAGAAAAAAAATCAAGAAATGCCCGGCGTGACCAGTATTTGACCTTGTAAAGAAGAAAATGCTGATTGTTTTTAATTGTTTTCATACAACACGTTGCTTATATATAATAATGTAGTGATTTATACAAGAACATGATGATGTTGTTAAACAGAAAATACACATTATCTAACATGATATAATTTAGGGTCATTATTATGTCAAAGTGAGATGACAAATTTTACATTGTCAGACATTTTGTCAACTATTAGTTTGATCATTTCTTTATATATTATACTATGTCGCTATTAAACAGCTAGGGCATTCAAGTGCATTATCGCATGGTTTGGAACTTTTCCTTTGTTCTTTATACTCAGTATACTGAGTAAGAAAACGATTTATTAATTTATTTATTTCTATTACAAAAACGAAAACATTATGCCATTGCGATAAAACAGTTCTAGTAATATGAAACGAGATATAACTTTGGCTGGGCGACATCTCGGGATGTTTTTGCAAGAAATTGTCTCGGCCTAACGGCCTCGCCATTTTTTTAGCATAAACATCCATTGATGTCGTCCCAGCCAGTGTTATATCATTGTAACTAACTCGTTTCATGTACTATAACTTTTACCTAGCACAGCATAAAAAGGGAATGCTTTGCACGTCATATATATGACGTCTAATATGAAGTCAATAAATCAGATGACGTCAGGAAAATTACTTCTTCGCTCAATGTGTTTTTTTTATCAATTCTGTTTGTTTTTTTGTTGTTTTTTTTTGTAAACAAGTTAGAATGGAAAAAAAAGCTACCGTACAGTTATAACATTAATAAGTCATTCACACGTTGTATTTTTTTTCTTTGTTTTGTTTTGTTTTGTTTTTTCATTTTTATCTTCACCATATTTATTTTTAAATATTGTAGCGTTCCTTGTAAAAGCTGCTGTAAAACATTCATCTTGTGCATAATGGAAACATTTAAGTTAGTTCAGAACATGATTATGCAAGGGCAATATATATTATGACTGTAGCATACTGTTATCAAATTCTCTTATTAATCTAGTTTATAAAAACAGATTTAAAAAAAAAAAAAAAAAAAAAAAAAAAAAAAAAAAAAAACCTCTTTTAATTTATAGAAAATATGTCTTTGTGAAAGTTCGATTTCTCTCATACGACGTCCTTAATTCTATTTTAGTAGGAGTAAAGGCAATATCTTTTTTTTAAAGTATGAACAAGACAGTAAAAATTAGTTCATCAATCATTTTATTTATACTTCTGTATTTTTAGTATCATTTGGCAGATCACTAGCACGAAATGTAAGAAAATATCCTTTCTGCATAAAGAAATAAGATCATATCATTTCACAAAACAAATCCGAAAACATGACAAAAGGTAGTTGCGAAAATTGACAAAGTTGATTTTTTTTAACCGATTACTACCTTTATAATCAAACAAGCACTGTAGAAAAAATAACAACAAGTTTAAATGTTTAAGTCTGTCTGTACAACATTTTGAAATAATTTATTAATCAATTATAAAAGTTGACAAGTACAGAAATATAACATTAACTCACACAGAAATGCTGAGTCAAACTTACAATAGACCTCACAAATTTACTGCTTATTAATATTTTTTATATATAAAATTTCCCGCAAACATGCATATAGCAGTTATTGTCATGATGTGTCCATTTTTTGACGTCTAACACGAACACGATGTCATTCAATTATATATAGCCACATTTTAATGCATGAAATCCTCCTTGATGAATTACAATTGTTATTATAACCAATGAAAATAATTTAAAATTTCTAAAAATACCGACTAGAGTACACTTTTAATTGATTTATAAATGCATACATTAAATCCATATGTTTAAAATGAAATTTCAATTGTGTCTAATGGCAAGAAATTTTTTTTCTATGAGGAAAAGCATTGTTTATAACATATCGCATATTTTGTTTGAAACGAGCTTCTTGTCACAAAATATTGTTAAGAAGTGATCGTTATATTATCACTTTGTGAAACACTCACGGCCCCTTGCACCGGCTTGAGCGGTACTCAATCTGCAACGAACTATTGTTGAGATATGAAGATGTGTGAAGTTGGCGGCCTGGCGGCGTGAAGTTGGCGGCCTGGCGGCCTGGCGGCGTGAAGTTGGCGGCCCAGCGGCCTGGCGGCCTAGCGGCGTGAAGTTGGCGGCCTAGCGGCGTGAAGTTGGCGGCCTGGCGGCCAAAAATTTTAATGTTGTAAAAATGTTTTTTTAACAATAAAACGGCATTTAATGAAGTTTTAAAGATAATTATTGTTATTTAAACGATATATCTAAAGAAAAAATCACTTTCAGAGATTTTTTTAATTTTGTCATTTTTGTGAAGTTGGCGGCCCAGCGGCCTGGCGGCCTAGCAGCCAAAAATTTTAATGTTCTAGAAATGTTTTTTTAACAATAAAACGGCATTTAATGAAGTTTTAAAGATAATGATTGTTATTTAAACGATATATCTAAAGAAAAAATCACTTTCAGAGATTTTTTTAAGTTTGCCATTTTTGTGAAGTTGGCGGCCCAGCGGCCTGGCGGCCTAGCAGCCAAAAATTTTAATGTTGTAAAAATGTCTTTTTAACAATAAAACGGCATTTAATGAAGTTTTAAAGATAATTATTGTTATTTAAACGATATATCTAATTTAAAAGAAAAAATCACTTTCAGAGATTTTTTTAATTTTGTCATTTTTGTGAAGTTGGCGGCCCAGCGGCCTGGCGGCCTAGCAGCCAAAAATTTTAATGTTCTAGAAATGTTTTTTTTTAACAATAAAACGGCATTTAATGAAGTTTTAAAGATAATTATTGTTATTTAAACGATATATCTAAAGAAAAAATCACTTTCAGAGATTTTTTTTAATTTTTGTCATTTTTGTGAAGTTGGCGGCCCAGCGGCCTGGCGGCCTAGCAGCCAAAAAATTTTAATGTTGTAAAAATGTTTTTTTTAACAATAAAACGGCATTTAATGAAGTTTAAAAGATAATTATTGTTATTTAAACGATATATCTAAAGAAAAAATCACTTTCAGAGATTTTTTTAAGTTTTGTCATTTTTGTGAAGTTGGCGGCCCAGCGGCCTGGCGGCCTAGCAGCCAAAAATTTTAATGTTGTAAAAATGTTTTTTTAACAATAAAACGGCATTTAATGAAGTTTTAAAGATAATTATTGTTATTTAAACGATATATCTAAAGAAAAAATCACTTTCAGAGATTTTTTTAATTTTGTCATTTTTGTGAATTTGGCGGCCCAGCGGCCTGGCGGCCTAGCAGCCAAAAATTTTAATGTTTGTAAAAATGTTTTTTAACAATAAAACGGCATTTAATGAAGTTTTAAAGATAATTATTGTTATTTAAACGATATATCTAAAGAAAAAATCACTTTCAGAGATTTTTTTAATTTTGTCATTTTTGTGAAGTTGGCGGCCCAGCGGCCTGGCGGCCTAGCAGCCAAAAATTTTAATGTTGTAAAAATGTTTTTTTAACAATAAAACGGCATTTAATGAAGTTTTTTAAAGATAATTATTGTTATTTAAACGATATATCTAAAGAAAAAATCACTTTCAGAGATTTTTTTTAATTTTGTCATTTTTGTGAAGTTGGCGGCCCCAGCGGCCTGGCGGCCTAGCAGCCACAAATTTAATGTTGTAAAAATGTTTTTTTTAACAATAAAACGGCATTTAATGAAGTTTTAAAGATAATTATTGTTATTTAAACGATACATCTAAAGAAAAAATCACTTTCAGAGATTTTTTTAATTTTGTCATTTTTGTGAAGTTGGCGGCCCAGCGGCCTGGCGGCCTAGCAGCCAAAAATTTTAATGTTGTAAAAATGTTTTTTTAACAATAAAACGGCATTTAATGAAGTTTTAAAGATAATTATTGTTATTTAAACGATATATCTAAAGAAAAAATCACTTTCA